CCAGTGAGAATACGCGAACGTGAGCGAAAATGGCGTCCGTCGAACTGGAAGGAGAGGAGAAGGGGGAGAATGTTTGTGGGCGTGGATTGACGAAAAACGATTTCGAGGTGCGGATCGACAATGAGATTGATGATCTCACAAAACTGTGATAGAGAGAGAATAGTGAAAACAGTGGCCATAGAGGAACGGTGAGAGAGGAAGAACAGGGTGAATAGAGACGAGCTCAGAGAACAGAGAGAGGAGGATAACAGGAGGAAGGAAGACGGAGTAAGACGAAGAGGAGAGACAATGAGATTGATGAGGAACACAGAAACTGTCTCTTATACACATCTAGATGTGTATAAGAGACAAGAGGAACGGTGAGAGAGGAAGAACAGGGTGAATAGAGACGAGCTCAGAGAACAGAGAGAGGAGGATAACAGGAGGAAGGAAGACGGAGTAAGACGAAGAGGAGAGACAATGAGATTGATGAGGAACACAGAAATGTGTGAGAGAGAGAGAAGGCGAGAGGAACGACGAGAGAGGAAGAACAGGCGAAATACAGAAGCTCAGAGAACAGAGAGAGGAGGATAACAGGAGGAAGGAAGACGGAGTAAGACGAAGAGGAGAGACAATGAGATTGATGATGAACACAGAACTGTGAGAGAGAGAGAGAGAGAGAAGGCGAGAGGAACGACGAGAGAGGAAGCACAGGCGAAATAGAGACAAGCTCAGAGAACAGAGAAAGGAGGAGGATAACAGGRGRAAGGAAGACGGAGTAAGACGAAGAGGATAGACAATGAGATTGATGATGAACACAAAACTGTGTGAGAGAGAGAGAAGACGAGAGGAATGGTGACAGAAGAAGAGGAGGTGAAATAGAGACAAGTTCAGTGGACAGAGGTGAGGAGGAGGATAACAGGAGGAAGGAAGACGGAGCAAGACGAAGAGGGGCATTGAAGATGAACATAGACTTGGGAGTAGACCGGTTGAGGGGGGAGCGCGGGAGCGGAGGGGGAACAGCGGGGGGGAATTTTACCGCAGAGTAAGCCTACATGGAAAGGGGACAAAGCGAGCACCCGGGTAGCACCAGCAGCGGATATTATTTTAGAAAAGAAAAGAAAAAGCGGAGAAAAGACGACGCGGTAAGCTTTCAAGACGGGCCAAAAAAAAGAAACCAAAAAAAAAAAAGGGAAAGTTGTCGGTAGGTAGAAATCACATTTCGGCGTCAAGCTAGGAGATGAATGATACCTTCCACTCAAGGCGAACTGACCTGCCTACAAGACAAGAAAAATAGGGAAAAATCCTCAAGGACGGACTAAAGAAGAATGGAAGGAAAATGGGAGGGGGGGGGAAGAGAGGGAGAGAAGGGAGGAGGCAAGGGAGAGCGAAGGGAGAGCGAAGGGAGGCGTGGAATTAGTTCAATGGAAATTCGTTTCGCAGGAGGGATGCTTCTCTCACATTTGCCTGTGAAGAATGAATACGGTGGGGGAAGGAAAAGGAGATTTCACCTATCCGATTTGAGGTTCATGACGTACCACTGCAGAGGGGAAGTAGCATCTGACACGATGGTTTCAGAGACAATTTGTAAATCCGTTATCCCATTGGCGCGACCTTTCACTTAAGGATCCAGATCCAGATCCCCCCCAAGCATCTTGTACTTGACGATCCTACCTCGACGCGACTTTCAACTTATGCACGGAATAGAATGGCAGAGATGGAGACTGAATGAAGCACGCTGGTTCCATCATCCTCATCCTCGTCATCATCATCATCATCTTGAGAAGCAGGCTAGCTCCAAAACATGCTTGTCTCGTCCTCATCATCATCATCATCATCATCGTCAGAAACACGCTGGTTTCGTTATCATCATCAGAAGCACACTAGTTCCATCATCATCATCATTATCATCATCATTATCATCACCATCATCATTATCATCATCATCAGAAACACGCAAGTTCCCTCGTCATCATCGTAAACACAAATTCCCTAATCATCATCATTGGAAGCACGCTAGTTCATCATCATCATCATCATCATCGACGGTAGCACCCTACTTCCATCATCATCAGAACCAGGCTAGTTCCATCATCGTCGTCGTCATCATCATCATCATCATCATCATCATCATCATCATCATCAGAAACACGGTACTTCCATCATCATCATCATCATCATCATCATCATCATCACCACCGGAAGCAAGCTACTTCTATCATCATCTTGATCATGAGAAAAAGCAGACGGATAAAAACCGGAAGACAAGAGTGGAGGAAGACATCAATCATGAGCGGCTTCCGGATCAAACTAGTATGATAATGGCCGATATATAATTAACAGGGAACAAACTCTGATTGATGCAATTCGTATACGTGTATATATCGTCAAACAAAACTGCCTGGTTAACCGTAGACAGAGACGGAGAAGAGGACAACAAACGAGGGGCTGTGTGTATCCTTGACCAAATAATTAAATCGTTGATCGTGCAGATTGCTGTAACACATGGTACCCTACCGTCTTCGCCCGAATAAACCGTACGGCATTGTCTGTATTAGGCCCGACTGTCAGTCCAGATGCAGCGAAAATGACAGTACGTTCTATTCGTGTGAGGATGGAAGTTTAAGAAGAGGGCAACGGAAGACGAGTGCCAATCATATCTGCCACTTTTCTTACACGAACTTTTGATTTCTGGGTAAAATAATCGCGTTGAAAGGAGTAGATAATAAAAAAGTATTTTTAAGTCAGGGTGAGGTGGGCTGGGAGGGGTATGGACAGGCGGACCAGGCGGGAAGAGGAGGGGGGGGGAGAATGGCGGAGAAGTAGGGAAAGTGAAGGCGAGAGGCGTAGAGATTAGGCCGACACATTCGGTCGAAGCTTCATAAAGACGAGAGAGAGAGAGAGAGAGTGGGGAAGTAAACAAGGAAACAGAGAAGGGGGAGGAGAGGGGGGGAGGGGGGAGAAAGAGAGGGAATAGGTGCTCAAATAAGAACAGGTGAAAGATCAATTTCCGCAAGTCGAAAGTGAATGGATTACAGAGGCAGCTGACAGATAACCACGTGTCAACATGAGAGGGAGGAAGTGAAAATGAAAGTACTGACAAGAAAGAACAGAGAAAGGGCAGGAAAATGATGGCCTGAGACAAGAGAGGAGAGAGGATAGAGAATAGATAGTCGTAGAGGAGAGGAAAATGAAATGGAGGGAGGGAGGTAAGATCAGCGCATTGAGAGGAAAGGGGAGAGAGAAGCAAGCAGGCGACATTGTCGAGGATAACAAGGTATAGAGCAGCAGACACTGGGGAAAAGACACAGGGGGCACATAGACCAGGCAGGCAGGGGAAGTACAGCAAGGAGAAAAGAAAAACCCAACTGCAGGGCAGGAAAATGCCGAGTCGGTACCACACAAGCCAACTGCGAGAAGACATGGCGATGGAGGATCACGCGTGCGCTACTGAACACACAACAGAATTCAGGATGTGAAGTGAAACTTACTCCAGACAGCAATCTGTCCGTCCGCACCGATCCAAGGATCGAACACGTGACCTCCACGTTAAGAGGCCAACACTCAACCAAACGGCTAAGCTATGCTTATCTGATTATTAAACAGAATGATGATAGTCATAGTAAGACTAGATCGGAAAAGAGGATAGAAACGTATATGATGACGACTAGAGCGTACACACACTGCAACTTTCCCTGACGTACCTGACCGTAATTACAGCTGGACCGGGATGTATTTGACTGCAACTCCGTCCAGAGGTCAGTCCAAAGAGTACTAGTGTGAATATCCCCTAAGAGAAAGCGATAACAACTCTCTCATGAGGGGGAAAAAAGGGAAAAAAAAAGCAAACGACAACAATCAGAAGCTAGAGCGGGGAACCAAAGAGAAAGGAGAATCACGACAGCAAGCAAATGACCCCTTCAGCCGTGGACGAAAGAAAACCTTAAGAATCCCTGTTCACCTCCTTCTCCTGCACTACGATCCAACCGTTTAGCTGGTAGCAGTCCACCCACCCTCAACTTCTCCCAGTTGGCGTAATCTTTCCTTCTTGCAGACTCGCCTGTAGCATCTCCTCCTCCCTACACCATCAACACATCATCATCACAACTAAGACCAAAAAAAGTAGCTGCTGCCACTCCTGCTCTTACTGCTGCTACTGCGCCTCGTCTGCTCTCACACCTCCACATTCACCTATTACAGTATTACTTCGCACGGCATTTCAAATATATACATACACATACATATATGATCTATGCATAAAATATAAAAATATATATATGCATATTATTACTCGTTAAAATATACATATACATATATATCATTACGCGAATATCAGAGCGCAAATGCGAAAAAAAGAAAAACAGGAAAAATTGAATTCAGTTAATTTGCTTCCTTATAACTCCCCCTGTTCAGAACCTCTTGCGTACAAGGCCGCCCACGTGGATGTAGGTATATATGCATATTATTACTCGTTAATATATATATGCATATTATTACTCGTTAATATATCGTCACAAACAGAACTGCCCGGTAAACCGTAGGCAGAGAGAGAGAAGAGGACAACAAACGAGGGGCTATACCGCCTGAGTCTATTTTTCGATCACGTCGCCCCTTTTCCGAGAAGACACAAACCTGAAACCATACACGAGCAGTGAGCGAACTCATCCGCCTGCTAGCACACATGAGAATGTCGTCCGAGTTGAAAACGAAAACAGAAAAACTGAGGGAAAAAAAAAAAAGAAAGAGAGTACCTCGCTACTAACCCGGCGATACGAACGTCGCAAAAATTTGTTGATAGGTCATTAGTTCACAAATTTGGGGAAAACGAACACAGAAAAACTGAGGGAGGAAATAGTAATTCAAAAACTGGGCAAAAAAGCTCAAACACGGGGAAAAAAAAGGGAACAAAAAAGAATCAAAAGCAGAGAAAGGGACTGAGACCGTGGCAATTTGAAAAAGGGAGAAAACATGAGAAAAACACGTTATTGAACGCACCCCGCAGATCCTTATCGAGTAAATACCTCAATAAGACATATAAGGTCGTCGATCTTCTCCGCTCGGTTATTTGCCGTCAAATACTTGTGGCCGTTTACGTATATCTCGAACGCATTCCTCGCCATCTCTCTCTCTCTCTCTCTCTCTCTCTCTCTCTCTCTCTCTCTCGATCGCCGTGTGTGTCTGAAATGCGTGTGTTTGCCTTAGCCACGTGCTCTCTCGCTCGTTCACGCCGGGAGTACGTAGAAAACGGGGAAGCGAGGGGGGCGTTGAGCAGATAGATAGCTCCCTCTCTCCCAACTCCCCAAGTGCTCTCTCGCTGGTTCAGGCGCGTAGTATGTAACTGGCCGCCAGAGCAAGTTCTGTGCTTCGTCGATTCACACTACTGTAGCCAACGTCTGTGAGCGAGGGAAAATTCAAAACATCACTGAGTACCAGCTCGGACCACCATCATGAGTCCGGCGACCCGTGACTGCAGTCGAAACATTCGCCGTACTACTACAGCCATGCTGCCGCTGTTTGCCCCGGGGGCGCTGTCGCACGACGTCGCAAGCGTCGCGCTTCACGCATCGTCGCACAACCCCGGAGTGCCACCTCACCGATCTAAGCATCTAATGTAGGGTAGTGATGGGGTTCCGTTCAGCTCGCTGGTAACTATCTGTATGTGTCCCTCTGTGTGTGTGTTTGTCCGAGTCTCCCCAGCAGCCTATCTGCGTGTGCCTCCGAGAGTGTGTTACTACCGGTAGTGGGAGGGAGGCAGCGAGTGTGACTCTTTGGCTCTGTCTCTCTGTCCGTGTGCGTATGTCCGTGTCTCTGTGTGCGTGTGTATGTGTATGTGTGTGTGTGTGTGTGTGTGAGAGAGAGAGAGAGAGAGAGAGAGAGAGGGGGGGGGGGTGAGAGAGAGAGATGGGGACGAATTCGAAAACAAGTACGGGCGATGAATTCGAAAAGAGTTACGGGCGAAGAATTCGAAAAGAAGTACGGCACAGAAAGACGAGTCAGCCTCTGAGCGAGATGGCGGCGCACGGGCTACCGGAGCGAAGTCAGCCCAACGGTGCGTAATGCCACAAATGCGGTGAAGCGAGATGCAGGAAAGAAGGAAACGGATGAACGGGGACCGAGGGCCGAGGGGCTCGTGCTTCTCTCATCAGCCGTTGTCCGGAGAGTTCGGAACGTTCTTCTGCTGTCCGAGTGCTATATACTTGCCGCCTGAAGCGGGGGATACTGGTACGTCCCGCCAAGTACAACAGATGCGCATTTTCGGTGCTTAGGGCTCTGTCACACAGGGACCTTTTTTTCCGACGGATCACTGGACGTCATAGCGGTAGTTGTGACCAAATACCGCACGGAAGCCGTAATGACGGCCAGATACGTCCGCGAAAGTGCTACCTCGTCCGGGAAAGAGTATGCTCTTCACCGCCATATTCCTAACGAAAAGAAAAGAACGAAAAGAACCGCTACCGCCATCCTGCTGCTGGCGCCGAGTTGTCGGCCCGCCATCTTGCTGCTGGCATCGAGTTGTCGGCCGAAGCTGTTGGGGCCTCGCTGCACTACTCTCGGAATGTGCAAAAGAGCGAATCTTCCTCTAGAACATGGAAAGATACACCGCCATGCTTTTTGTCTTTTGTGCGTTGTCGGGAGTAGTGGAGCGAGGCCCGTTAATTAACGAGCGGAAAACAAGGAGGCACAAATCTGAGCGGCGGGGTTGCCGGCTCGAGGCCGCCGGGCTCGGTAGGGAGCTGCGGCCAAGGGCCTCGTCCGAGACCACTTCAACTCAAGGGTTGAAAAAAAATTCTTCGTTCGACCCCACCCTAACGTCGCCGCGGATGAAGATCGAGGGGTTCCGGTAGCGCTAATTTTGTGCGCTAATTTCGTGCGCTAATTTTGTGCGCTAATGCGGCGCTACGGCGTAGCATTAGCGCTAATCGGGATTAGGGTTAGCACTAACGGGGCAAGGTCCCACTTGCACGGATTACGAGATTCCGGCCGTTGATCTCGGCTATCTACGGTCTCTATCTCTTAATTCGTGCCAGTGGGACCTAGCCCCCGGGCAAGCCAGGGCGCTGGGCGGGTGTAGCTGATGTCCTCAAGTGTAGACACGAAGTCTTGACGGTAATTTGGCGCTCGGTGTTCTCGAGGGTAATTCCTAAAAGGAGAGGTTACATGAGAGTGGCGCCCATAGCAATTCTTGGGGCTATGGGGGAGAAGTACAGCCATAACCTCTGGTCCCCGCGGAGTGCTGCCCTCGGAGGAACCTCCCGTAGCTAAGAAGGTCAAAAGGCAGGGGAGACCTGGTGGGCTGGGGAGCAGAACGTCCGATTGGCGTACTGAACTGGACGGTTCAGTCGGCTAAGGAGTGGTGCCTGCTCGGGAAGATACCAGAAGGAATATCGACAGAACAAGCAAGGACCAAGAGCTCCGCCTCTTCATGTGGAATGGTCCGGATCCTTGGAAGGTATAATGCTCTCTTCACGCCAGAAAAACAGTTGCCATATTTATTTGATGCCTCATATTATAATATTAGGATTATTCGTAGTTATTGGTTGGATTGTGTTTTTGTCAACAGGAGCGTTTATTTTGACTTTTATGATGGCTCAACCTAACCCCCCTTCTTCGAGTAATAATATTCCAGTTATCAACCCACTCACGGACGATGGTAAGCAAAGCATCCGGGACATCCTCTCCAAGTGCTTCAACGAGGGAGTTCTTCCCAACCAGGTAGCACCAGGAGTGGTGGAATCCAGAGATGACTATGTTAGAGTGACCGTCGATCAGGATTTATTTAAAGTCCAATCCGAATGGCTATCTAAGCATGCTATTTCTATCGTTTTCAACGACGAGGCGTCCTCTTTTTTCAGCGTGAGTCGAGACAAGAAAGGGAAAGGGGAGAAGGAACAATGGAAGGAGGTATCAAAGGGTAAGAGGAAGGATTTAGAGAAAGATAAGTCTGATGGACCTGGAGGTGGAAAGTGGTTATGCGGGATGTTTGGGAAGACAAGAAGAAGTAACAGGATGGTTTGCAAAGGGATGAGGAGGAAAGGAAACAGAGGGAGGAAGAGACACGTAAAGAGGAGGAGGAAGAGGAGGACAAGAAGTTGGAAGAGGAAAGGAAACAGAAGGAAAACAAATGGGAGGCAGAAGGGTTAAGGGATGAGAAAACGAGAAGGGAAGACCATAACAGTAAATCAAAGCGCCCTTCCTCAGATGAGCTAGACAAATCTAACCCAGAAGACATAAGTAAGAAAGACGCTGGATACGAGCGCTCTCGAGTCAAATGGGGGCAAGGGGTTGAAAAAGCTCAAATGTTGGGTTCCTGGACATGGTTGTTTTGGGCAGTGGTGAAAATTATGAAAATCGACAAATTGAAATGTTGGTAAAATTTTATGAAAGTGCACTTTTGGCTTGCTGTTTTATATGTTTTTTTTTTTTTTTTTTCGTTTTTTTTTTTACAATATGTTAGTAAGAAGTGCACTCTACAGATTGCTGTAAAGTATGGTTAAAATGACCTTTTGGTTTTCTTATAAATGAGGGTGAAAATTGGGGGGTCGGTTAACCTTCTCTCGAACAAAAGCATGATAAAAAGAAAAGGACAAAATTGAAGAAGAACACAATGGGTCAAAAGTTTGGGATAACAAATGCACTCACGGGTACAGTACCCCCCCCCCCCCCCCCCCCCCCCCCCCCCCCCCCCCCCCACTACAAGGGAAGTCAGTCCCCACAGAGGTCTCATACCACTTTGATGAGGAAACGTCCTAAGACGAGGAGTCTGAACTCGTGATTGAGAAGTTCCTCTTCACTATAAGATAATTCTTTTGAAGATGGAACAAATATAAACAGAAGCAGGATACTTGAATATGATTTAGACTTTTTTATTCCAAGCCTATTCCAGGACGGTTGCATCACCTTCAATAAGATTCCACATCCAAAAGTTTTGAGATATTGGCCGCCTATAAAAAATAAAATAAAAACGCCCAAAGGAGGACAAGGTGGCCATAACCATGGATGAACAAATCCCAGAAGTGACCTCCACCGTACTCCTTGAAACTGACACAAAGACTAAGAAACGTGATGTTATGATTATGAATGCTAAAGGTAGGGGAGAGACTCCGACTCCCCTTATGGAAACAAGTTCCTCGCTGAAAGAGTTAAGGAAAGGATGCAGTTGGGCAGCTAAGAAATTTATCCTCCTCTCGGACCCAATTACCACTATGGGTAGAACTGACGATTTTGGGATTAGTAGTCAAGGAATTTTTAGTCCCCTTAATTTGTCTGGACTCCTCACTTGGGTTGTTGGTGTTATTACAACGATATGAAGTATACAATCTCAGTATCCCATTGATAGCAGTTCTGAAGGATCCAATAGAGGAGCATGCTCTGAACTTGACCAACAAGCATATATTGAATAACACTGGCAGCTGTGTCATTATCCCCGACCCGAAAATAAGATAACACGTGATCTCAATGTCAGATAATAATAAGGTTGTTCTTCATATTGCCTTCATGGACATAGCATCGGTCACAAGTAATTTTGAGTCATGGTGTTTTAGAAAGGTGTGGTGGTACCGTTTTCAGGATTTTACCATGCCCAAATATGATGTGTTGTTCACTATTCACATGTTTGGTGGGTACTCGGCTAGGCTTATCTACGATTGGATGGTCACCAAGGACATGATCTCAATAGTATCATGTCACTGATTTCAATCGATGGTAAGAGTCTCTGAACTTCCACCAACGGTCCAGAAAGTGATCATAGATAACTTTATCAAAACTTTCCCCTTTGAAGTACCAAGCCGTATCCAAGTGTCTAACGGTGCAGCCTCCTCTTATGTTGTTGCCCAGTAGAATCCGCATAGCCAGTTGGAACGTTAAAGGTCTGGGCGACACTTCACATCGCTACAAAAGACATCGCTTGCTAGCATGGATTCATTCAGAATTTTTCCAAATAATATGCCTACAAGAAACGAAGTTGAACCCTGGCAAGATACACAGCGCAGTGGATTGGTGGCGGGGCCCACAATTTTGAGCCCTGGTCGATGAAACTTAGGATGGGACAACTATCTTGATTCATCCAGACTTTGACTGTTCAGTTCTAGATCACTTCATTGATCCAGCAGGGCAGATGGTCTGGGTAAGACTGAAAATCCAAGAGGAGGACCTGATAATCATGTCGCTCTATGCTCCAACTCATTACATAGCCAAGACTGACTTTTTTGCCTTCCTTCCGACATTCATACCGGTGACGGAAAATTTGGCCATCCTCAGAGATTGGAACACCATACTGATCCCCGGACTGGACTCCCTAGTTCACTCTCCACTTAGAGTTGATTCATCATTCCTGTTGTCCTTTTTTGAGTCTCAGTGCTTGGTAGATACATATAGGACTCTTAACTCATTTGATCACGGATACACGTGGCGCGTACCTAGGCCTAACCCTCGAGCCCCCATACCGCGCCAGAGACTATATTACATCGCATCAAGAGGGGTTTTGTGGGACAAATGTTGCGCATCTGAGCTAATGGTAGCTTCTATGTATGACCACTATCCAGTTTACTTCGACGTGGTTCCCAGTGACGTGGTGGCACAAGAAAGGCCCCTCTTCAGATTAAATATAAATAATATGAAGGATAGGGGCATACCATTATGGATCACAAATCAAATGGAGGGCTGGTCTAAGGCTTAGGATATATTTGATGATGTTATGGGCAGACGTGGGTATAAATATAATAAGAGTCGCCTTGATAAAATTCTGTAGAATGAAGGCGGCCAATAGATCATGAAAGGAATTAAAGCTACGCAGGCTCGAAGAGAAGGCCGACGCGAAAATGGGAACAGACCCGTTCACAGACTACTATTGGACCGAACAAGGGGAAGAAACACTCTTACAGCGGGAATCAATGGAAGCGCGAAGACAACCTAACTGGCTTGACTGGCTTAAACTGAGAGGTATATTAGTATATGACAGGATGACGAAATTAACATTTCATTTATTGATTCAGCATCAAACGAAACCTCTATTGCGGACATTAATGCACTCTTTTGCCTTGTGCCTGTAGCTTCTGACACGCTAGATTTGTGCCACTATGCGTTGTAATACTTTAGAGACGTAGTGTCCACCCACCGCACCTTTGATGACTTCGACTTGGAACTTTCAGAAGTTTCTGACTTTTGGGGCAGGTCAAGGAAGCAAATTCAAGGATATATCAAAGACCGATTAAATGCTCCCCTAATAGAAGCAGACTTCACCGCATAGTCAAGAATATGGCCATGGACAAATGCTCGGGCCCAGATGAACTGCCATTGGAATTTTTCTTAAGCGCATGAAATGTCTTTTCTCCGTTTCAATATCAAGTTTACAACCAGACTCTTACATCCGGCTCCGTCTTCTCCTTCTCGATCTCCTCCTCCTTTTCCTTCTCCTCCTAGTCCTCCTAGTCCTCCTCCTTCTCCTCACCCGTCTCCTCCTCCTCCTTCTCATCCTTCTCCTCTATCTCCTCATCTTCGTTCTCCTCTTAGTCCTTTACCTTCTCCTCGTCGGCGCCGTCCATCGCTTCCGTTGTCCTCCTCCTCCTCCTCCTCCTCCTCCTCCTCTTCTTCATCTCCATCGTTGTCCTCCTCCTCTTCCTCATCCTTGTCCTTCCCTTCTTCTTCATCCTCCTCCTCCTCATCATCATCTTTTTTTTCTTGCTCGTCGTCGTCCTCCTCCTCCTCTTCTCTGTACTCCTCGTCCTCCGGCTCCCTTCCCTCCTCCTCCTCTTCGTTGTACTCCTCTTCCTCCGCCTGCTTTCAATCAATCAATCAATCATTCATTCATTCAATCCCAATCCAATCAATAGATTGGATTGGATCTTGAAAATTCAATCGATCGGTTGAATTTTCAAGATTCAATCCAATCTTTTGATTGGATTCGATTTAATAGATTGATTGATTGATTGATTGATTGATTGATTGATTGATAAAAAAAAAGAGGGTGGGAGGAACAGTGGAAGTTGGACTTCCTGTGTTCCTGCCACCTTTTTTTTTTTTTAATCCATGCATTTTCTCCAACTTGCATCGCCCCTCCTCCTCTTAACCCTTCTCTTCTTTTTCGTCGTCATCCTCCTCCTCTTCTTCTTCTTTGTCATCCTCCTCCTTCTCCTCCTTCTCCTTCTCCCCCTCCTCCTCCTCCTCATCTTCTCCTCCTTCTCCATCTCCTTTTCATTCTCCTTCTCCTTCTAGTCCTCCTAGTCCTTCTCCTCCTTCTCCTTGTCCTTCTCCTCCTCCTCCTCCTCCTTCTACTCATCGTCTTTCTCCTCCTAGTCCTTCACCTCCTCCTCGTCGGCGTTGTCCATCATTGCCGTTGTCCTCCTCCTCCTCCTCCTCTTCTTCATTTCCATCGCTGTCCTCCTCCTCCTCCTCGCCCTTGTCCTTCTCTTCTTCTTCATCCTCCTCATCATCTTTTTCTTGCTCATCGTCGTCGTCGTTCTCCTCCTCCTCTTCTCTGTACTCCTCGTCCTCTGGCTCCCTCCCCTCCTCCTCCTCTTCGCTGTACTCCTCCTCCGCCTGCTTTCAATCAATCAATCAATCAATTAATCAATCCCAATCCCAATCCAATCAATAGATTGGATTGGATCTTGAAAATTCAATCGATCGATTAAATTTTCAAGATTTAATCCAATCTTTTGATTGGATTCGATTTGAACAATTGATTGATTGATTGATTGATAAAAAAAAAAAAGGGTGGGAGGAACAGTGGAAGTCGGACTTTCTACGTTCCTCCCGCCCATTTTTTTTTTTTTTTATCACGCATTTTCTCCACCTTGCAGCGCCCCTCCTCCTCTTAACCCTTCTCTTATTCTTTGTCGTCATCCTCCTCCTCTTCTTCTTCTTCGTGATCCTCCTCCTTCTCCTTCTCCTCCTCCTCTTCATCATCATCTCCTCTTCCTTCTCCATCTCCTCTTCCTTCTCCTTCTCCTCCTAGTCCTCCTCCTTCTCCTCATCCTTCTCCTCCTCCTCCTGCTCATCTTCTTTCTCCTCCTAGTCCTTCACCTCCTCCTCGTCGGCGCCGTCCATTGCTTCCGTTGTCCTCCTCCTCCTCCTCGTCCTCCTCCTCGTCCTCCTCCTCGTCTTTTTTTTTTGCTCATCGTCGTCGTCGTCCTCCTCCTCTTCTTTTTCTTGCTCGTCGTCGTCCTCCTCCGCGTCCTCCTCTTCTCTGTACTCCTCGTTCTCCTGCTCACTCCCCTCTCCTCCTCTTCGCTGTACTCCTTGTCCTCCGCCTGCTTTCAATCAATCAGTCAATCAATCAATCAATCAATCAATCAATCAAACAATCAATCAATCAATCAATCAATCAATCAATCAATCAATCAATCAATCAATCAATCAATCAATCCCAATCCAATCAATAGATTGGATTCGATTTGAACGATTGATTAATTGATTGATTGATTGATTGATTGATTGATTGATTGATTGATTGGTGATAGTTTTGATAGGTAGATGGGGAGATAGGCAGATGGGGAGATAGGGAGATATGGAGACAAGTGGATAGGTCGGTAGGAAGACAGGTAGATAGATAGATGAGTAAATAGAGAGGTGTGTAGATATGGAGATAGGAACATAGGTAGATAGATAGATACGTACATAGATAGATAGGTGGACAAATAGATAGGGAGATAGGGAGATACATAGATAGATAGATTACATTACATTACACAGATAGATAGATACATAGATAGATAGATAGATAGATAGATAGATAGATAGATAGATAGATAGATAGATAGGAGATAGGGTGATGGTTAGATAAGTAGATAGATAGATAATTGGATAGATAGATAGGGGGATAGGGAGATAGGTAGTAGGGAGGCGGGTAGATAGGAAAGATTGACATGTAAATTGATAGATAGATAGGTAGATGGATATGTAGATAGATAGATACCTAGGCGATAGATGTGCTTCGCTTTTCCAGTGTATTTTTTCGACGCGAAGTTCTAGCAACTCTTCCCTTTAACTTTTTGGTTCCTTCATTGATATTTTTCGTTGATTATGCCACACCAGTGGTTGATGTCCTGCGCCACTAATGTACGGTCATCGTTTGGTCTTGGATGCAGCTTCTATATTTGTTGCCTGCCTCACGCAGTCACTTGTCCATTGCGACACCCGTTCAATCAGCATTGTTGCACGCAACGGTTGTTGTTTTTGCTGCAGCCTCGTGGTGGTAAACACCATGGCGTCCACGAGCAGACGACGAGGACCCGCGGCATACCCACCCTTCGAGCCTCTTCCTGATTGGAAACAAGAGGACTTAAAGCGTTCACATGCGGTTTGGCACTGGGTGGTTAAAGGTCAGGAGTGGGGTGTGGTGGGGGGTGGAAACTTCCTCAAGCGTTGCCGCCTATGCGACGAGGTGTTTCCCGGTTCATGATCGAAGGGCAGTGGAACACTTCACGAAAACGAAGGTGCATTGCCCTCGACGGACGACTGAGATACTATGGCGCTTGCAGCGCCACGGAGCACAACTTCGGGATTCTTTGTCGCAGAGGTTGGCCACGGAGTATGCAGATGCGATGGAGGAGGAACTGGCCGTGGAGGATCTGGTTGGACGTGGCACTGTTGCGCTCGCTGATGCGGCCGCCACGCAGACACAAACCAATGGAGGAGAGGACGGGAGAGGTGCTACAGGGCCACATGGTGGGCAACAAGACTATCCTGCCAGAGATGTCGCGGATGATGTTCGTGAGCGTTTGCGAGCGCTCGTCGGTATGGGGGATGGAGGTGACGAGAGGGGGGCGAGAGGGACTCATACCACATCGACGGCCTCCACACAGGTCGCACTCCGAGGAAGACAAACGACCTTGGATCCGCTTTTGGGAAACAAGGTGCAAAATGATCTCGATCGTTTGTTGACACTTGCAATGTACCGCGGCGGCGTGCCGTTCAACTGGCTACGGCTGAAGGAGACACAAAACTATTGGGACTACATTGTCAGACTCATGCGGCCGTGCATCGTACCAGCACCACGCCTGCTCTCGTACGAGGGAGTGAGGACGAGGATGATGGATATTATATACCACGAGGTTGCAGCACTCATCGCCCCTCAGAAGGCAAAGTGGAAGGACACCGACTGCACCTTGATGACTGACGGTGCCACGGACCACCGCAACAAGCCGATAATGAACTTCATCGCAACACAGAAATCAGGGTCAATCCTTATCCGCACCATCGATATGTCGGCACGAGACAAGACAGGCGTGAGTTTGGCAGAGATATGGGAGGGGGTGATACGAGATGACATAGGGGTGGAGAATGTGAACGCCATCTGCACAGACAACGCAGAGGTTATGAAGGTTGCAGCGAGTATTCTGCATGACCACCCGGACCCTGCCATCACACGTATCCCTTGGATCCCTTGCGTAGCGCATTGCTTGAGCTTGCTGCTTAGAGACATTGCGGCACAACCATGGGTCGCTGAAGTGATAAAGAAAGCGCATAAGATCATCAAGTTTATGCGGAACAAGTAAAAGGCGCTCCATATTCATCGATCCGCGAAAGGCGCCTTGGACCTGACACGCCCGACTGACACACGGTTCGGGACTGCATATATGATGTTGGAGAGGCTATATGAGCAGAGGAAGGTACTTGATGGGGTCGTGTTCTCTGATCATTGGAGAGATGTCCGATGGGCAGGAGACGCGCATGTGGACGAGCCAGAGGTACGCAGACTTTGCAGATGGGACTGGTGGTGGCAGCAGGTCAAGAAAGTGATGGATGTGATGGAGCCCTGCTACACTTTCTTGAGGGCCATGGACTTCGATGGTTCATCACCCCAGGGTTGTGGGATTTGGAGTCCATCCTGCGGGAGGACGGGAGGAAGGTGGTCTTCGACATTGTGGCGGACAGATGTGTGATGATGCGGCAACCGACACACGCAGCAGCTTACTTGTTGGATCCTCATCGATGTGACATCTCTTTGTTGTCTGATCGCAGCTCACCCATCGTGCAAAGTACACTTGATCATTTTTGTCGTACTTTGTGCGTGTGCATGTGTGTGTGAGTACATTGTATGTGCAATCAGACTCGATTTCCTCTTCTTCCTTGCATGCATGCAAACAGATAGAGATCCAAAGTGGCAGCAGGCGCCCACACAAAGCTTTAGACATATGGAGACCGAGAACACGATTCAGATGCAAAGTCTCTTCAAACAGTTGAGTGCCCGAACAACTCACTGCCGACACTTTGTTCACCACCTCTGTTCACACACACCCAACTCTGGATCACCCTGAATATCCAACACGCACTCACGCTGTACTCCGCTCACACTCACTCACACACTGAACACTATCTCCTTTCTTCAACCCACTTCGGCCACTTTCCACTGGGCCCATGGTGCACACAGTCCCACATGGTACTTGCTGACTGGACTGAGTGAGACTGGGACTGCGTACCGCTGACTAAGCAAGGTTGGACTCACCACTTGCCCACTTGCCTCTAGTCTGCTGTGAGCAACGTTGGAAAGGCCACTTCCGGACCTTCCGGAAGCCTACGGTTTTGGCCTTTTGAAACTGTAGCAGCTACAACCTTGACTCAGGACTGTAGCAACTACGACCTTGACCTTCCAGAATTGCTACAGCTACGACCTCTACACAACGTTGACCCCTACTCGACAAACCTACAGTTCAAGACCCGACAACTACATCGACCTACGACAGTAACTCCTAAAACCCAGGTCACGGGTTCAAACACACAGGGGTACTGTACACGGGTGAGGTGAGGTTTAGGGATCGAGCCCTGGGATCTGCATCTGCTACTGCAAAGGTGAAAACTGTTTCAGTGTGTGTATGTGTGTGTGTGTGTGTGTGTGTGTGTGTGTGTGTGTGTGTGTCACACACGCATAGGTAGATACTACATAGTGTGTGTGTGTGTGTGTGTGTCACACACGCATGGGTAGATACTACATAGTGTGTGTGTGTGTGTGTGTGTCACACACGCATGGGTAGATACTACATAGTGTGTGTATGTGTGTACATATTGTGTGTGTCGTGTGGTTATGGATAGCGTGTATGTGCGTCTGTGCGTACAGTGTGTAGGCATATGCAGCAGCCGCAGCAGTGGGTCTTTCAGACATTCCCGGGATGATTCCCCCAACCCCCAACACCGTTTTTGTTTTTTTTTGTTTTTGCTCCGAATGACCTCAAATTTGTTTTGGGGGGTCCCCTGGTAATGCGTGACATAGAGTTTTTTTTTTTTTTTCCCTAAATTAAAAAAAAATGAGTTGTTCGGGATCCCGGACAACTCCACACAGGACGTCCGGCCAGGACAACCGGCAATCAGACAACTGGTAGCCTAGATAATTTATTGATTATATAAAAAAATAGAAAGATAAAGTCATAAATTATAGGTAAATTTCAGTATTAAACGTAATCTATAAAATTTTGGCAAAGGCAATTATCATCCACTTGGCAAACGTCCTTCCTGACTTAGTCGGATGGGAATAAGGCGCCTTTGTCAAGGGATGCTCAATTTTTGAAAATATCCTAACTACAATGCAAGTCCTGGAGATAATTGTGAAAGAAAAGAGCGAGGTTGCCATGTTGCTCTTAGATATGGAGAAACCTGGGATGGAACTTAGTGTCCACCGCGTTAGTCAGGATGGACTTTGGAAGGGGTTTTCAGATTTGGGTCAGGGCCATATATTCCCAGGCTACATCCTCTGTATTCGTGAACAAAAGATTGTTTGAAGAATTCATGCTCACACGCTCCCTGCGCCAGGAATGCCCCTGGCTCCACTCCTCTTCGTACTTCGACTAAAAACATTGTTGGATGATATTAGATTTAACCCCAAGATCCTCGGTCTCTCCCTTTCCCCCTCCTTGCAGTGGAAAAGGGGAGCAATTGCAGACGATTTGACTGTCGCTTGTGAAAATAGCGAGAGTGCACTTAAGAGAGTTTTAGATAGTTACTGTGTCTTATCTGAGGCATCAATAAACAAACATAAATCCGTTTATTTTATGCCTACTACATAAGGTTTGAAGGTTAATTAGGGTCTTCGTCAAATCCCCACCGAGAATTCAAAACGCCTTTTGAGAATTTTTGTTTCGCTCTCAGATCGCTCAAGGGCACAGGACCAGCTCCTCGCAGACAAAGTTATAGCCCAAGTAAGCTAATGGCAACGGAATCATAGTTTTTCACTGTATGGACGAGCACTAGTACTGTCCACTGCAACCTTTTCTTTGCTTTGGTATCCCTTATCTATTGTCAGACTGGGGGAAGAAACCTACACTCAGATCAGAGAATATGCTACCAAATGTCTGGAAGTTAGACGCCAAAGAAGGAGAAGGTCATATGACGAAGGTGGCATGGCAGACCATAGCCCTTCAAGTAAAAGTGAGATCTTGGGTATTTTTAAGGAGCTTCATGATTTACTTTTGAAAGGAAGCCTTAAGCCGAGGGATGGGATGATGGTCCCGATTTCTCGCAGCAGCCTAAGTTGGGTAATGACCCCACTCTTCAACCGGGTTGTTTGTAGAGGATTCCCAACCTCTATTCCCATTCAGTTATAAAATGGTTATTTCTTCCAATATATATATATATATATATATATATATATATATATATATATATATATATATATATATATATATATATATTGTCGCGGATTTGACTATGTCCTTCAGATTGTGATTGGATAACAAACTTTTTATTGAGCTTCAACTTAACTTTTTGGGAGGATTATTGCCAATTGGGTTATGATGGGACGTTGAACCCAGTTTCCAGCATTGCCCAAGCAGGGTAATGGCCCCAATACATCTGGGTTGATTGTGGGGAATTCTCGACCGCATCATATCTTCGAAATGAAATGATCAATTTTTTCAAAAAAAAATACCTTCGCCGTGGGGTTATTTCTACTTTCTGACTTTCAAGTGCCCGCCCTCGAAACTCAAGTGCGGCCAGGGCAAAATGACACTGGAACTCAAGGTACCTCTCTAGGGAGCCTTGAGTTCAAGTGTCGGTGGATACCGCCATCAGTCCAAGTGAGCCTTTTTTTTCCAGCAGGCGATCCTGGTCCAAGATTGGTCAAGCCGTGGAGTTCGGTTTCAAGTGCAGCCTGTTCAAGGGTTTCCTCAAGTATATTTGGAGCCATAAATCGAGTAAGTGTAAATTAATCATAATTCTTTGTTTAGTGTGTACTTGAAACTCAAGTCTTTTCAAATGGTATTGAACGAGGCTCCAAGTCCCACTAGCATCGCGTAGTTGTAGTTACCTCAACGGTGGGACAAAATTGAATGGAGGGAAAACTATGTGTGACACAAGTTTGGACGGGAAAGTTTGCCTTTTTCACTGTGTCCATTAGATTATGACAGATCCAACCTGCTCTGTTACTTTGAATCTCACCTTTCTCCCAAAGAACGAAGGTCGTAGTTCTTACTTTTCCTTTTTTGTGAAGGGAGAAGCACCGCCATCATTGTATTGGCGAGTACGACTCGAACTCAGAATCTGTTAACACAAATTTTCTGGTAGATCTCATGATGAGGATAGAGGAGCTCTGACCACTGACGCTCCAATAGAAAACAGGCTCCGACAGAGGAAGGACAAGTAGAGAAAAAAAAAAAAAAAGGAAAAATTTATCGTATAGCTACGAACGTGTTCACTATCAGGGTGGGTAAGTACACGCCTCGAGAATGACGAGAAGGAAATTGCGTCAACATTACCAGTGTTAAAGAGCAGCTTTTTTTCTTATTGACGACATCATTTGGTTAGTTTTGGTGGGCCTATTTTTGTTTTGGCGTGGTTTATAGAAGCCTTCAGATGTATTACTTTTGTGCATCACACACGTTTCCCGCTGAGCTCACTGCATTCCTACCTATAACTACACGATGCTAGTGGGACACAACCCCTGGGCTTTTCTTTTGTTAACTTTTTGTCCTCATGCATTTGGGCGCGCGTTAGCACTAACCGGGGATCCATCTTCCCACTGCCGGTTTCAGCTTCAGGAGACGGCTCGGGGTCGAGCTCCAAACCTGTATAACACCGAGTGCACACTTTGGCAGCGCTGACCCCGACCCTGCCCCTGGCTTTAGGGGTGGACCCCACTGTTTTGGGGCAATGCTTTGGAAGACGATTTGTGAGACACCAGATTTATCCGCACCGAGCCGCCAAAACGCTCGAAAATGACATGGCAGTTATTTCCACATAGTTGCCTCTTGCCCGTTCCTCATGGTTCGACCATCCTGAGGGGGTAGGCGGGGGGCATCTCCCTCAGTTCGGCCATCCCATGTGGAAAGGAGAGTCGTGGATTGGGTGAGAACGGAGACAAACAAATGTGAAGTTTCTGTATAGGGAAAGGGAAAGTTTTCCTTATCAGGTAACCGGCACCAACGGACCTGCCAAAAATTTGTGTGTGGTGGGGTCCGTTTTTTCCTTTCCCATCGTTGGGGCCTACGATTTGGGTTTGGCGGAAGCTTTCCAGGCGCAAACTTATCGCCAGGCAGTGGGGTCCACCTCTGAACTCCTCACCCCCCCCTCTCCTTTCCCGGCTAGCCCCGCCCTCACACCTTGCCCCTAGAAG